CCCATTTGGGGATGTATTGGGCGCCAGTCAGTGCGTGCGGCTGCTTGTAGCGCCCCTCTCATGACTTCTGCTGTTTGAGAGTGCGGGCTGTCTCTATTGTGCCGCCAGCGTCTACTGAGATCGGTATGGCCACGTGCGTCGCTTATAGCGTGGTCAAGGTGATCCCCGCCGATGGTGTACCTTAACCAGCAGAGGTCATCCAGGTGCACCAAGGTGTTCGGTCCTATGGGAATGGATGTAGTTGTTCTGCTGGGTAGTGAGGGCCTCCGGTATGTTGGCGGGCGAGCGTCTGGGCCGCCGTGGCAGAGAGAGGGAGGGAACCACCCATCGAGCCGTCCATGGGGGTAGGTCCTAATGATGTGCCGAATTTTCTGGCACACATCTAGGGCCCAGGAGCCTGGTGCTGAGCAAAGTAGGGCCAGCGAGATCGTTGCTGTGCGGAGTTGCCAATCGTTCCCGACCTCCTCGAGGCCTCCTGAGTCTTCGTATGACCAGATTTCAGGTAGGCCTGCAGCGTGGGCCACCATATGCCTCCAGGCTCCCAGGAGTTCGCCCACGAGCCAAGTTGGGGTGAAGTCGGAGGGGCCAGGCGGGGTGGGGGAGTAAAGGTGCTCGGCGATTGGGGCGTACCGCATGCCCGCTTTGACAGGCTGAACCAGCAGAGCCGCGCCCAGGAGGTCGAGGGCGTGCCTGTCGGGTGGCTGGCCAGGGCCTGCTCCTGGGTGACTCTGAGGTGAGGCGTCTGCTCGCGGCTCCTCTGGGTTGTAACTCCAGGGGTTGGCCAGCCTGTGGCAAGTAATACAGGTTCGCCCTGTGGGGTCTCGGAGCATCCAGGTGCCACAGAAATTGCATCTCTCTCCTGGGCAGAAGAAGTCCCGCAGCCGCAGTCTGTGAGCTGTGGTGGACCATGGCCACACGTCGTCGCTGCTGTCGCTGCCTTGGATGGGGGCTCCAAGGATGCCCGTGGAGCTGGCGGGTATCCCCGAGAGGGCGGCCTCTACCCATGGTACTGGGCCTTTACCTGCTTGTCGTCTCGAGTGCACGTCACTCCCCATTCGCTCGAGGTTCCCTCTCGTGATGGCCCGCTGCCTGACGTCCCCATGGTCCGGAAAGTGGACTATGTTTTGTCTGCGCTCGTGAATTAGGACTCGGTGGGCATAGCCCATGACCTCGTCATCCATGGGGTCCTGCGTCCCGTCTGCTCGGTTGGGGCCACTGATGTGCAGGGGGGCTGCGTCCTCAGGGCATCTGGTGGGCATGGGCATCCTATCTGTGTCAAATCCGCTCGGGAGCTCCATTCCTATGTCGCAGTAGTGTGCAGCGGCGGCCATGGCAACGTACTCGAGCCGTGCTAGCTGTCTCTCAGTCACTGAGGGGTCGGCTGTATCCAGTCTATCCCTTCTTATGCTGGGATCATGAGCAATGCTCGCAAAGCGGAAGGCAAGGACCTGTACTGGGTCCGGTTGAACGCCTCCCAGACGCCCCTCATAGTCTCCTCCAGTGATGGACCATACTAGCCAAGTGTGGTCCAGGATAGCGAGAATCGGGGCTGAAGTGGCGACCTCCGAGCAACGTCCAGGGAGAGCTGGTTCTACGGGAGCCGCGCGCATGGGGCTGTCGGCTCGTATGCCTGGGTGGCCTGGGCGGTGCCCCCTCCACGCGTGCTGTATGAGGAGCTCCAGGTTGCGGGTCTCACGAGATGTTCTCGGCGCTCCGCGGTTGGGAACCTCGCGCCACGGACCATCAATGCGCACAAGGTGCCGACGTAGGGCCCTCATGGTGCCCCCCCTGCCAGAGATCCTGGCGTCCGCAACGCGTGGGCCACAGATGGGTCCGTCCGCCTCCCGGCTGGCCGCCCAGTCAGCATTCGCGTGCCCAGTGGCGTCCAGCCACCGGGCGTGGAGGTCCGCAGCGCTTTGCCCTCTGCCCCCCAGCGCTTGGCTGGGGTCGTCAAGGTCTGAGGGGGTGGGCGGGTTCTCCATTCGCAGCTCATCCTCCAGGGCAAGGTCTGGGGATGGGTAGGAGGGGGGGTCCGCGAGGGCGGGGCCCCCGCGCGCCGTGTGGCTAACCGCGAAGGGCGAGCCGCTGTCCGTCCAAAGGAGGGGCCCCCGCTCTCTGTCCTGTGACGAGTAGTCAGGTCCACGGCGGCATCCACCGAGCGCGGCGTCAGGAAACTCGAGCCCAGGGGGCGGGTCAGGAGGGGAAAAGTCGGGGGAAGAGCTGGTGGACGAGGGAGTAGAGGCACGGGGAGATCCAGCCGCCGGGATCGGAGACCTTGCCCGATCGATCCGATCAACATGAGGAGCGGCCCCGACCGCGGGATCGGAAGCAACCCTGGGGGTGCTGGGCGAACGAGGAGGCCCGTCGGGCCTTCCATCTGCCGATCCCAGAGAGGGACAGATACGATCGATCATCCCTGTGGAGGAAGGCGTCCCCCTGCGATCACAAGAGCCGGGGACCCCCGACTCTCGTTCCACTCCCTCTGGCGGAAGGCCAGGCCCGTGGCCTGCTCCAGGGAAGCGACGGAAGGTCGCACTATCAGTGTGTATACTGTGACGGAAGGTCGCGCGTTCTGTGTGTCTCGCGGGGGGGGGGGCCTCGCCCCCTCCACCAGTGTCGCGCCTAGCGCTCTCACCTCCAGTGGGTCGACTGAAGGCGGCAGCGCTAGGGTGCACACGGCCACCGCACCCCCGCCCAACCCCCGTGGGGGTAGGGTCTATAGCCCTTACTCACACATCCGACTGGTCCCTGGGTCGAACGCCTTGGGCCTCATCCAGCCTTCCGCCATCCGATCCAGGGTAGCGGCGGAAGGTCGCACGATTTGCGTGTATCTCAAGGATGTCTGCATCACCCCTTCTCCAGCATTATGCCTGCCGCTCTCGGGCCCATGGGGGCGGTCGAACGCTGCATCGGCGTCGGGATGCGCTTCACGGGTGGAAGGCCTGGCTCCACCGCTTAGCTCACCAGCGGGGACGGCCTCGCTCAGCGCGGGCACGTCCAGGGGGGGGGGGGGCTCGGCGGCGGGTTGGCGTGAGCCTCCGTGAAGCGGGCCAGGGCTGCGGGCAGAGACCTGCCCATTCCTGTTGCCTATGCCCTCGCGAGCGGAGCGTCCCCTGAGGGCATCAGCTCCCTGAATTCACCACCCGAGTCGCCCTGGCCCCTGGGACGACCGCAGAGGACGTTCATCTGCTCCTCGTCAGTTGGCCTAAGCGGGACTGGATCCGCGGGGGGGGGGTTGCTTGTGCAGAAGCGAGGCCCTCTCCCCCCGTAGCCCTGGTGTCGCCCAGGGCCGCTCCACTCTGTCCGACAGCGCCTGGAGAGAAGGAAATTGGGCGCCCCGCAGCGGGCATGGGAGCGGCGGGGCGAGAGAGGCGGTTGGGTTAGACAGGAGGGCTTCGTGCCCACGGTCATCGCGTCCAGGGGAGCGACGGAAGGTCGCAGCGTCGGATTGCATTCTGCCAACGTTCTCACGACCACCCCCCATGGGGGGTTGCTCCCTGATGCATTCTCCCCCTTCACACCGTTCCCTGGGCTGAACACCGCGGGCGTTCCTCTGCCCGTCGCAGTCCGTTCCAGGGTAGCGACGGAAGGTCGCAAGATCTGTGTGAATTGTGGGGATGGACGCTATGCCCCCTCCTCCAATGCTGCGCCTGCCGCTCTCAGGCCCCTGAGGGTGGCCTAGTGGGGCATCAGCGTCGATGTGCGCGCCGTAACCTGAGGACCCGTCTTCTATGCTCAAAACGCTGCGGAGAGCAGCTTCGCTCGGCGCGGCCGCATCCAGACAGGGGGGCACGGCGGAGTTAGGGCAAAAGCCTCTAAGATGCGCGACGGGGCCAAGGCGACGCGACTGCCCGTCTCCCCCCACTTCGCCTTCGTGGGCGCCTGCTGGGGGTGTCGGGTCCATGCTCTCCCCATCCACGCCACCGAGGTCCCTGCGTCGGGAGCCGAGGGCACCTCTCTGCTCGTCGCCGAACTGTCTGAGAGGAACGGGATTCGCGGGGGGATAAACTGCTTCAGGAGTGGGCCCGCTGGCCCCCGTGAACCTAGCATCGCCATGGGCGGTCCCGTTATGCCCAGCGCGGCCTGGAGAAAAGGAGATTGGGCGTCCAGCCGTGGGCATAGGAAGAGTGGGGGTAAGAGAAGGGTAGCTGGGCGGGAGGGCCTCATGCCTGCCATTATTAACTCCAGGGTGGCGACGGAAGGTCGCGCTGTCAGTTTGAAACGGAGGGCTGAACGTATCAACCCCGTCTACCGCTGCGCGTCCGCCGATCTCAAATCCAGGGTAGCGACGGAAGGTCGCAACTTCGGTGTGCATCACAGGGTTGAGGGAATCACCCCCTCCTTCCGATTGGCTGGGGGCCATCGGTCCTCGTGTGCACGAAGCATCGGCTGAAGCGCTCCCATTCCAGGGAGCAGGGGGCGACGGTTGTCCGGGCGGGATGGTGTCCTGAAATCCAGGGCGAATATGTCCTGAGTCATTCAGTCCTCTGGTCCCGAGGCCGACATTGGGTGATGCGGCTCTCGCCCCCGCAGGGATGACAGGATTATCGTCGATCGATCGCTCGCCATCGGGCCGGTCATCCATGGGGCGGCGGCCCTGATCCGATCTGAGCCGCGGGCCGCTGAGCCCGTCTGCGCGGCGGCAAGGCTGCAGCAATGGCCGGCGCGCCCAGGGGCCGGTGGGGGTCCAGGGCCGCGGGGCCACGACGCTGCGTCTGGGCGCCCCCTTGAGCGGCGGGAGACTGCCTTGAGCCAGAGGCTTGAGCCAGAGCTACGGTCGCTGATGGGGATACGCGAAGCGTCCAGAATTTTGGGGTCTGAAATGTACGACTATATGTTTCGTTTGCGGCGTGAGCAGTTTCAAACTGTCGTTCAGTTTGGGGAATGTTGGACGACCAGGATGAGGCTGAATAGACTGCGAAATTAAACCTATGAGGAGTTCACCTGTATTCCTGGGAGCAGAATTTGGAGACGGGCTCGAGGGCCAGTCGCAGCTACCGCGGCTGTTCGTTGGAACTTGGATGGCAGCCTGTCTCCCCTTATTTGTTTTTGTTTTCTCCGCGATGGAGCGCGGAGGCAGCGATGCGGCGATGCGGGGGTCCCCCGCCTGAGTGCTGTCTTTCTCGCGTCTCAAAAAAGGACCTGCCTACGAATGAATGGCTGGCGCCCACTGGTAGGCAGCTCCACGTGCGTATATAAATCGCACGAGCGCTTCACACTTTGGCGACGATGTCGACGCTGGTAAAACAACGAAAACGCGCATCGTGCACACGGAGACGTGGGGAGGGAGGAAGAGAGGGAAGGAGGGGAGGGGAGGAGGAGGGGAGCAGAGAGGAGGGGTCAAGGGAGGGAAAGGCAAGACAGAGAAGGCCTGACGAGAATGCTCCACTGGCGCCGACAAGCTCGAAGACTGCAGGGTTAGGGAGAGGACGGAGGCGGGAGGCCACCAACTGTGGCGATCCCGAGACTGGTGCAGCTCACGCCGCGGCCCGTGCAGTCGAGGCAAGTCGCGGTCTCGCGCCAAGACGCTACGATGACAGCAGGCACGCGGCAAGAGCGAGCGAGCAGCGCCCCCGACCAAGTGAGTCCTGAGCGCCGCGCTATTCACGCGACTACGCTCAGAACTAAGCAGGCCTCTGCGCTGGCGAGGGGCGGCTCGCAGAAATGATTGTACAGCTCCAGCGTTCTATGGTAAGTGCCTGGGCAGACGTCCCATACAGCTCTGCACACGTTCTGTAGATGAATGTAGTTTGTTGACAGCTCTTTGGCACGTCATGGGCCCCTCAGCGCCACTTAGGTACCGGCACGCTGAATGCGCATCCTGATGGTCCTCGGCTCGTCATCGGCAAACTTCGCCAGCAAGGTCAAGCACGAGCCCCTGATACCGTCGATCTCGGTGATCTTGTCGCGAGTCCTAACTTGCTGATCAGGGTTATCGTAATTCCACTGGGAAATGAGCCCTCCTTCCAGGATCTTGGTTACGGTCAGGGCACTGCTCTGTGTATCTGGAGCGATCTCGATGCCGATCTTCGAGCCGTGGACTTGCGAATGTCGACATCAACGCCTGGCGTGACTTGCCCTGGCAAAGCGACACAGACACTCATCGTGACTTCCTGGCTGTCATTACCGAACAACGTGACGGGAATCTCTCCGACAAAACCGCTCTCGCTGAAGTACTCGTAGTCCAACGAGGCTACGCCAATCTTTATATCACGCTCGGCATACAGGGTGAACTGTAAATCGTCGGGACGCCTCCAGCTCTGGAAGGGGGTCTTCAGCCTGAACTCTGGGTCTTGACTGGCGGGCACCGCCACGGACTCGATGGTCTGGTTCTTGCCAGGTACCTGGCAGGCCACATGAAACTCGCGCGCGCGGGTACTGGGGATGTTGTTCGCGCCGATGACACACACCGTGAGACTCGAGCTGATGCCTTCCTGCCGAGGCGGCATCCCGCGGGTGGCTTTCGGCTTGTGCAGCTGTGCTGGCGACGGTGGCTGGCAGTCCCAATTGATCTCCTCGAGTGGGCCGTAGTGGTACTTAAGCTTCGGCACACCCTGGACTACCTGGGTCGCAAGACTCCCTGGCAAGCCATCACTTGCCGCGCACGGCTTCCAGCCAAAGAGCGGCGGCGTGATCTGCTCCTCACTCTCGCACTCTCGTTTGTACAGATTCCCACCGCTCACGTCCGAGTTTGAAGACATCGAGATGACCCAGGCGTCTCGCACATTATCCGACCGACAACGGATGTAGATCTTTTTTATGCTGTCCTTGTTCACCTCCAGCTGGAACGCCTCGCCGCCGGCGAAGTCCGCCGTCGGCAAATAGACGCCGTTCACCTGTGGCAGGCCAGCTCCCGTGACCCGCACACGACGGACGCGGTGGCCAGGCCTCTCGCCAGACCCCGCATTCCCATTGTGGCGGTCGGGCCCGGTGCTGCCCGAGGCACCCATCTCTGGTCTCAACTGCGGTCGCCTGTGCGCGCCCCGGTCGCCTACAAGTCTTGAGCCTGGATGGCTTGAGCCAAAATGGCTAACTTGAGCCAAAATGGCTACGGAAGCCTGTCTCCCCTTACTTTGGAGAGATGCGGATGAAAATTGACTTCGCCCTGCCGATCGTGATGTTCTGTGCAACTTAGAAGAGATATGAAGCGAACGTGCGACCATATCATCAGGATTCAGGCCTCCAAGACGAACCATGGCATCGGAGTTCAACATAGAGTCGATTGTACCTGTATCCAAAAAGAGCACTTCAAGATGGATAAATATTTGGATGATGAGGGACCGGGGAATATCAGGAACCCGTGTCTGGTGGTTTTTGGACCGACCAAAAGATTCATAAGGAGGGGTACCGCACCCATGCTTCAGGCATGTGCCCCAGGTGTGGCTAGCAGTTAGGAATCCCCATCTGACCGTTTTGAGCGTGCCCAATGAATGGAAATATAGCTCAGCTTGCCAAACGTGCTGTCCATGAAATCGAATGCCCTTCCTTCTGGTGTCGCGGGCTCATGCCCCTTGATCGGTCGATTAACCCCCTTCCGCTCGCCTCGGAGACCGCCTGGTTCTGGGTATCTTTGAGGATCGGGAGGTTCGCGCTGGAGGTATGGAGAATCAATGAATGGATCGAGGGTAATGCACCTAAGGACCCTAGACTAAGGAGTTGCGGCTGGGCTTGCGTCAAACTAAACGCCACGTTCGACAACGTGGAGGGGAATGTTGCTGCTTGACGGAGCCTAGCAATCTTCGCCAACAGCAGACTTGTTGACCCTGATTTAGGCGCTGCAATATACAATTGGACGTGTCTTGATTTCTCTGGTTATGACCGGTGGTGACGGGTTCAAGAAGCCACGGGCGGCCCACAGGAAGTCTAAGATGCTGGACTTGTGGGGTCGTGTTTAGGATGTTCTGGACAGTAGACAACAAGAAATGGACCTCAAATGTACTGAAAGCCACCCTACGGGAATCCAAGTCATATCCCCTTTAATTAACGACGACTGGACAGCTCCAGCTCCTCACTGGGGCCGCTGATGCTTGTGCTGGGGAAGGGCCCGTCGAGCTGCTGTCCCCGAAAACTGAAAGAGGATCATTTCTGATAATGAGAACCTTTGTACTAATGTGATTATGAAGCTGGTCAGTATCCAGCGAGAAGCTCTCACGACCTGCCCGAAAAATGCGACAGCGTGTCGGGCACGAGCACATGCGTGCCAAATCTTCTCAGACCAATGCCCGGATCAGGCTCACACAAATTTTTGAGGCAAACCATTCGCCTGTACTGCTTAAGGCTGGAATGAACTGTTGTTCTTTTCTACCTATTTCAACAATCGAAGCGCACTGCCTGCGTTTTGGCTTGGCCGTTGTGCGGCCAATAAGTCAAACACCCTCGATTGCGTAAGCATTTCAACACCGACTGCCCAAAAACATATACAAATTACGCTACCGAGGAACCCCACATACTTATATGATGGCTGGAGAGATGAGAGCTGAAGTGAAGCATGTGAGAATGATGTTGGTGGCCGTTGCCCCGCCGATACCGCTGTGCCCTGGACGACCGTCACGGATAGCGGCCGCGGTGAGAGACCACCCCCTGCGCACCCCCTTTACGGTGTCGAGAATATGCCATGCCTGCTGTGCCCTGGACGACCGTCACGGATAGCGGCCGCGGTGAGAGAAAACCCCTTGCGCACCCCCATGGTGTCGAGAATATGCCATGTTTGCTGTGCCCTGGACGACCGTCACGGATAGCGGCCGCGGTGAGAGACCACCCCTTGCGCACCCCCTACGCTGTCGAGAATATGCCATGCCTGCTGTGCCCTGGACGACCGTCACGGATAGCGGCCGCGGTGAGAGACCACCCCCTGCGCACCCCCTATGGTGTCGAGAATATGCCATGCCTGCTGTGCCCTGGACGACCGTCACGGATAGCGGCCGCGGTAAGAGACCACCCCTTGCGCACCCCCTACGCTGTCGAGAATATGCCATGCCTGCTGTGCCCTGGACGACCGTCACGGATAGCGGCCGCGGTGAGAGACCACCCCCTGCGCACCCCCTATGGTGTCGAGAATATGCCATGCCTGCTGTGCCCTGTGAGACCACCCCCTGCGCGGCCCCTAGCGGCGAGAATATGCCCCTGCTGTGCACGACCGACTATGGTGTCGAGAATATGCCATGCCTGCTGTGCCCTGGACGACCGTCACGGACGGCCGCGGTGAGAGACCACCCCTGCGCACCCCCTATGGTGTCGAGAATATGCCATGCCTGCTGTGCCCTGGACGACCGTCACGGATAGCGGCCCTGCGCACCCCCTATGGTGTCGAGAATATGCCATGCCTGCTGTGCCCTGGACGACCGTCACGGATAGCGGCCGCGGTGAGAGACCACCCCCTGCGCACCCCCTATGGTGTCGAGAATATGCCATGCCTGCTGTGCCCTGGACGACCGTCACGGATAGCGGCCGCGGTAAGAGACCACCCCTTGCGCACCCCCTACGCTGTCGAGAATATGCCATGCCTGCTGTGCCCTGGACGACCGTCACGGATAGCGGCCGCGGTGAGAGACCACCCCCTGCGCACCCCCTACGCTGTCGAGAATATGCCATGCCTGCTGTGCCCTGGACGACCGTCACGGATAGCGGCCGCGGTGAGAGACCACCCCCTGCGCACCCCCTCTGGTGTCGAGAATATGCCATGCCTGCTGTGCCCTGGACGACCGGCACGGATAGCGGCCGCGGTGAGAGACCACCCCCTGCGCACCCCCTATGGTGTCGAGAATATGCCATGCCTGCTGTGCCCTGGACGACCGTCACGGATAGCGGCCGCGGTGAGAGACCACCCCCTGCGCACCCCCTATGGTGTCGAGAATATGCCATGCCTGCTGTGCCCTGGACGACCGTCACGGATAGCGGCCGCGGTAAGAGACCACCCCTTGCGCACCCCCTACGCTGTCGAGAATATGCCATGCCTGCTGTGCCCTGGACGACTGTCACGGATAGCGGCCGCGGTGAGAGACCACCCCCTGCGCACCCCCTATGGTGTCGAGAATATGCCATGCCTGCTGTGCCCTGGACGACCGTCACGGATAGCGGCCGCGGTGAGAGACCACCCCCTGCGCACCCCCTATGGTGTCGAGAATATGCCATGCCTGCTGTGCCCTGGACGACCGTCACGGATAGCGGCCGCGGTGAGAGACCACCCCCTGCGCACCCCCTATGGCGTCGAGAATATGTGTGTCGAGAATATGCCATGCTGTGCACCTGGACGTCACGATAGCGGCCGCGGTCAGAGACCACCCCCTGCGCACCCCCTATGGTGTCGAGAATCTGCCATGCCTGCTGTGCCCTGGACGACCGTCACGGATAGCGGCCGGTGAGAGACCACCCCCTGCGCACCCCCTATGGTGTCGAGAATATGCCATGCCTGCTGTGCCTGGACGACCGCCACGGATAGCGGCCGCGGTGAGAGACACCCCCTGCGCACCCCTATGGTGTCGAGAATATGCCATGCCTGCTGTGCCCTGGACGACCGTCACGGATATCGGCCGGGTGAGAGACCACCCCTGCGCACCCCCTATGGTGTGGAGAATATGCCATGCCTGCTGTGCCCTGGACGAACCGACACGGATAGCGCCGCGGTGAGAGACCACCCCCTGCGCACCCCCTCTTTGTCGAGAATATGCCATGCCTGCTGTGCCCTGGACGACCGTCACGGATAGCGGCCGCGGTGGAGAGACCACCCCCTGCGCACCCCCTATGGTGTCGAGAATATGCCATGCCTGCTGTGCCCTGGACGACCGGCACGGATAGCGGCCGCGGTGAGAGACCACCCCCTGCGCACCCCCTATGGTGTCGAGAATATGCCATGCCTGCTGTGCCCTGGACGACCGACACGGATAGCGGCCGCGGTGAGAGACCACCCCCTGCGCACCCCCTATGCGGCCACGCGGTTCCAATGGACGACCGGCACGGATAGCGGCCGCGGTGAGAGACCACCCCCTGCGCACCCCCTATGGTGTCGAGAATATGCCATGCATTCTGTGCCCTGGACGACCGGCACGGATAGCGGCCGCGGTGAGAACCACCCCCTGCGCACCCCCTATGGTGTCGAGAAAGTGCCACGCCTGCCACGCCCTGCGACCCTGGGGCGGATAGAGACCGCGGTGAGGGACCACTCCCTGCACACGTCCTGTAGGGACGAGAAAGTGCCACACACGGATGGTGTTGTGTAGTGTGGTGTGGTGTGGTGTGGTGTGGTGTGGTGTGGTGTGGTGTGGTGTGGTGTGGTGTGGTGTGGTGTGGTGTGGTGTGGTGTGGTGTGGTGTGGTGGTGTGTGGTGTGGCGTGGTGTGGTGTGGTGCGATGTGGCGTGGTGTGGTGTGGTGTGTGTACGAGCGAGAAGGAGGAGGTGAGGTGGGAACGCAAGTGTGACGCGGGTGTAGAGAAGGGGAGGCGAGGTGAGACGCGGGTGCGCCGCGGGTGTAGAGAAAATCGGAACCCCACTTAGAACGTGGGGAAAAAATGGTTTCGCAACATCAGTCCTCAAGAAACCCTGCGCTCTTGCGAATTCTAACCCCGAAACCGTTGGATTTTCAAACCGTTTCATCAAACTCTGCCAAACGGGCTTGTCGCGCCGTCGAAATCATTCGGACGCCCTTGCGCGCGTGCCAGGGGGGCACGATCCGTGTCAAATAATACCCCACGGGCCATTCTCGCGCGTCGGCCGCGCGCGCATGTCGAACCCCCCGACAAAGCAAAAAACATTCATCACCGACGCGAAGACGCCGTCACCGTCGTCGGTGTGATCAGCATCAGCGCCGCCATTGGCTTCGCCGTCGTCGTCACCACCTTCGTCACCATCGTTATTGTCATCATCGCGTTTACCGTTGTCGGCGTCACCATGGCACCGCGCCCGCCCAAGTCACCGACTCGCACTGGAGTGCCCGCTGGGAAGTGCCAAGCGGCCAGCGCCACCACGGCCGCGGCGATCGCGCCGAAGTACCTGGCCGCCGTGCGCGCAAGCATGCGCGGGCTGGCGCGGCCGCGTAGATGCACCAGCCAAGGCCAAGCATTCATCGCAATCGCCGCCGCATGGGTTTTGCAAACCAACTTGCGGGTGGGTGGGTGGGATGTTTTCAAGAGCATGGGAGGTGGTCGAGCGCGGACAGGGTAATTAACTGCACCACATAGATGATTCGTCCCAGCCATCCTGTGGTGTTGCGTCTTCGTTTTG